GGAGGTTGCAGTGAGCCGAGATTTCATCACGCACTCTAGCCTGGGCAACAGAGGGGAACTCCATCTCAAAAAAAAAAAAAATTGGCCAGGCATGGTGGCTCATGCCTGTAATCCCAGCACTTTGGGAGGCCGAGGTGGGTGGATCATTTCAGAAGATCAACATCACCCTGGCCAACATGGTGAAACCCGCCTCAACTAAAAACACAAAAAAAATTCGCCAGGAGTGGTGAGGAACGCCTGTAATCCCAGCTAGTCAGGAGGCTGAGGCAGGAGAGTGGTTTGAGCCCTGGAGGCAGAGGTTGCAGTGAGCTGAGATCGTGACATTGCACTACAGCCTGGGCAACAGAGTGAGATTCCGTCTCAAAAAAAAGAAATGTTTTTAAGACATAGGTCTTGCCATGTTCCTGGGCTGATCTTGAATCTTGGTCTTAAGCAATCCTCCCACCTTGGCCTCCCAAAGTGCTGGGATCACAGGAGTGAGCTCACGCCCGTTCCCAGCTGATGCCTATTTATTGATGCATTGTCTGTGGTTGCTTTTGTGCTTCAAGTGCAGAACTGAGTAATTGAGACAGAGACCATATGACCCAGAAAGCCTAAAATATTTATGATCTGGCCCTTGGCAGAGGAGGTTTGCTGACCTCTGAGCTATAACCATTCCTTTCCCCTTTTATTCTTGCCATTGCTTTGTCGGAGAAACTGGGTCTTTGTTGTATGGGGCAGGGCTCTGGAGCCCCAGGTAGCTTGGGAGTGGTGAAGTGGGTTATGCCTGCCACGGGCCGGAATACTTGTAGATGTTTCCCATACCTACTTGCAGATCATATCTGGGATCTTGGGTAAAGTGAGATTCTCACTTTCTGTTGTTATGTTTAACACATAATAGTACAGTCTGGGCGTGGCGACTCACGCCTGTAATCCCAGCACTTTGGGAGGCTGAGGTGGGCAGATCACTTGACGTCAGGAGTTTGAGACCGGCCAACATAGTGAAACCCTGTTTCTACCAAAAATACAAAGATTAGCTGGGCATGGTGGCACATGCCTGTACTCCCAGCTACTTGGAAAGCTGAGGTATAAGAATCATTTGAACCCGGGAGACAGAGGTTGCAATGAGCTGAGACTGCGCCACTGCACTCCAGCCTGGGTGATGGAGTGAGCCTGTGTCACATATCACATACACACAAAAAGAAGATTGGAGTACAAAGCAGGAGACAGAATTGATTCCTTTTTTTTTTTTGAGATGGAGTTTTGGTCTTGTCACCCAGGCTGGAGTGCTGTGGTACAATCTCGGCTCACTGCAACCTCTACCTCCCAGGGTCAAGCAATTCTGTTCAGCTGAGAATAGCTGGGA